ACAACAACAACAACAACATACTCTAAAGACACGAGTCTCCTCTTACTGCCTAAAATTATGTCAATTTAACAATAACGAAACATTAACAATAGCGTCACTTAAGTGTTAAAAGACCTCAGTATTTAAATCTGCCAACAAAACATGTTTTCTCGCATATCTTTCTCTCCCCGTAACTTTATTAGGTCCACAAAGGGGTGTAATGGAGTCGAACCCGACCACCTACCAAATGTTGCAATACACCAAGAGGTTTTATTGGGTTTCATAAAACTCTATGGACTTGGCCCCAAACATTTCATTCCCACAAACTTCAAGAACCAACCAACCAACCCTGGGGCATGGGGCATGGAGACCAACCCTTCTTCATGGGCGCATGTTTGCCTACTTCGACCCCCGTTTTCAAACAAACATTAGTTCCAATATATACATCCACTCATCAGTGACAGCCACGGCCAACTACGTCACCTATCATTACCGTCCCCGTCTATATAAACATTAAAATGGTTATGCAAATAATAAACACGGAATTATACATTAAAAACTAGATTTAGCTCCCTTGTCAGGCTCGTCCCTGTGGCTTTTAACATTAAGTGTTGGGTTAAGGCCTATCGACCTCGGGCGTCGTAAAGCTGGCAGACCAGCTTTAGTATGGCACTGAAGCGGTAGCCCCAATAATGGGAACGGTACTGAACACGATATAACCAGGGGTACAACACCTTGTGTGGGGGGGGGGCGTCGTTGTTGACGGAGGGTCGAGGAGGCTGGGGGTGGTCCTGGCTACTCAACACTATCATACCAAGATAAAGCTGCGAGTCAAATAACAATACATAATTATTGTCCTTGTATATAAGGTATTGACAACTTATTGTCCTTGTATATAAGTCACCGGAGGCAAACCCTCAGCAGTTTAAAGACCAACTAATGTAAATAGAACACTGCTTGGAAAACCTCACAAATCCAGCTCCGAACATCATCCTGCTTGGGGACTTCAACCTACGGCACCTGAAATGGAAGCACCTGGCTAATACAGTAATATCAGAAAGAACACCAGGGAGTAGCCTAAATGAACAGGCACGTGCAAATGACCAGCTACGGATGTGCGACAGGTTTGCCTTAAATCAGCAAATAGTAGAACCAACTCCTGGGTTTTGTATGAGTCTTGTAGCTTGAGTTCAATTGTTTCTATTTCTCTGCCTAACCTTCTTCGCCGTTCTTGAGAAAGGGTGCGACTCTCAAGTTGTTCCGCGATTCGTTTTCTTCGCCTATATAGGGAACGACGTTCCCGTTCCAATCTGCATCTCTTCCTCTTTTTTCTTAGGTGTATGCGGTTTGAACATATTTCTAGTGCTACTGAGCTTATTTTTTTCCAGGCACTGGTTCAGGTTTGCATTTTCTAGCTGTTCTTCCCAGCTTATTTCTGTGAAGTCCTGGTTTATTTGCTCTCAGTTTATCCGTTTATTATTGAAGTTGAATTTGCTGAAATCTCCTCCACCGGGAATCTGGACTGGTTTTAAAGGTCTATTCCCCATGGTTGCCAGAACTTCAATTAAGTTGTGATCTGAGCAACAGGTATTTGTAATCATTATGTTCCTGATCAATTCATCATTATTAGTGAAAACTTAACGAAGATAAGTTTCAGCTCCTGGGCTACGGAAAAAATTCACCATTTTTCCCCAAAAACCTTGACAGTAACGTTGAAATTTGTTTAATAATAAGTATTATAAGCGAGCTGGCGAGTTTGTCAAAGATACGAACGGTTCGTACCCTGGGTATGTCCAGTATGGGAGACGTTTCGCACCCATGCATTATTTTCGTACCCATCATGTCGTGACCATAGCCATGTCTGTGTTGCCTTCATGTTGATGTATGCAAATGAAGCAATATTAATAAATCCTCCCGTTAAAAATGCACCTCCTCTGCCTGCTTGATACCTGCTTGATGCCTTGCTTGATGCCTTGCTTGACGCTTGCTTGATACCTTGCCTACCCAGAAACGTACGAACCCAAGCAACCCACCTAACCTATCGAGGCCGATGCATAGAGAACGTCAATATTGTGGTGCTTTAATTTGTACTAATACGGCGCATCTTTAACGGAGTGGTCAGTTCCATCAACAAATACGATGTTGTATGTGAGAGAGGACGGGTTAGAGGTCGCCTTGCTGGTCCCAGGCCAGCAGGGGCATCTTGACCCCTCAAGGGTTTACTCTCTATATTTATCAGTCCACTCCAGTATAAAGCTTTACCATCTTTAAGTTTATACTATATAACTTGGGGCAGGTTAGCCTTTAGTGGGGCTATCCCCAGGCGTCTGGCCTTTAGTGGGACTATCTTCAGGCATCTGGCCTTCAGTGGGACTATCCCCAGGCATCTGGCCTTTAGTGGGACTATCCCCAGGCGTCTGGCCTTTAGTGGGGCTATCCCCAGGCGTCTGGCCTTTAGTGGGACTATCCCCAGGCGTCTGGCCTTTAGTGGGACTATCTTCAGGCATCTGGCCTTTAGTGGGACTATCCCCAGGCGTCTGGCCTTTAGTGGGACTATCCCCAGGCGTCTGGCCTTTAGTGGGACTATCTCCAGGCGTCTGACCTTTAGTGGGGCTATCCCCAGGCGTCTGGCCTTTAGTGGGGCTATCCCCAGGCGTCTGGCCTTTAGTGGGGCTATCCCCAGGCGTCTGGCCTTTAGTGGGGCTATCCCCAGGCGTCTGGCCTTTAGTGGGGCTATCCCCAGGCATCTGACCTCGTATTCTGCGACGGTGCCGCCTCCTGGTGGTGGACACATTAAACCACCGTAATACTGACGCTGTCTATACACTGGCCTCCATAGGTTAGGTACCCATTTAACCTAGCCACCAGCTTGGGTTCGTGCGTTTCTGGTTAGGCAAACCAGGTGCATTATTTTACGAGTGGCAAATCGCGACAAGGGGCTAGGGTGGCCGGGCTCTAGACATTGTACCCCGGTCACACATCTGAGGTGCCAGCATAACGCTAACTGGAAATCCCCATCATGCGAGTGGTTCACTTATACAACTATACTTGTGTAGTTGCAAACCTATCCGAATCAAATCTACCCCGAATCCCCGAATCAACCTACCCTGGCTTTGCGCCCTGGTGAGGCCACTCCAGACCGACAACCAGAGCGCAACTCCATAGTCTCCTGAGATTGATGGATGCCTACAACTATACTTGTGTCAACTTTTGACAGCACCTGTCTAAACTTAAAGCAAACTAAAGCATTTCTAACATAAAACTGTTATATCTCATAGATAATATAAGAAGCAGTAGCATTAACGGTGTACCTGTGTTCATCGGTGTACCTGTGCTCACCGGTGTACCTGTCTTCACCGGTGTACCTGTGCTCACCGGTGTACCTGTGTTCATCGGTGTACCTGTGCTCACCGGTGTACCTGTGTTCATCGGTGTACCTGTGCTCACCGGTGTACCTGTCTTCACCGGTGTACCTGTGTTCACCGGTGTACCTGTGTTCACCGGTGTACCTGTGCTCACCGGTGTACCTGTGCTCACCGGTGTACCTGTGCTCACCGGTGTACCTGTCTTCACCAGTGTACCTGTGTACACCGGTGTACCTGTGTTCACCGGTGTACCTGTGTTCACCGGTGTACCTGTGTTCACCGGTGTACCTGTGCTCACCGGTGTACCTGTGCTCACCGGTGTACCTGTGCTCACCGGTGTACCTGTGTTCACCGGTGTACCTGTGCTCACCGGTGTACCTGTGCTCACCGGTGTACCTGTGCTCACCGGTGTACCTGTGTTCACCGGTGTACCTGTGTTCACCGGTGTACCTGTGTTCACCGGTGTACCTGTGTTCACCGGTGTACCTGTGTTCACCGGTGTACCTGTGTTCACCGGTGTACCTGTGTTCACCGGTGTACCTGTGCTCACCGGTGTACCTGTGCTCACCGGTGTACCTGTGTTCACCGGTGTACCTGTGTTCACCGGTGTACCTGTGTTCACCGGTGTACCTGTGTTCACCGGTGTACCTGTGCTCACCGGTGTACCTGTGCTCACCGGTGTACCTGTGTTCACCGGTGTACCTGTGTTCACCGGTGTACCTGTGCTCACCGGTGTACCTGTGCTCACCGGTGTACCTGTGTTCACCGGTGTACCTGTGTTCACCGGTGTACCTGTGTTCACCGGTGTACCTGTGTTCACCGGTGTACCTGTGCTCACCGGTGTACCTGTGCTCACCGGTGTACCTGTGTTCACCGGTGTACCTGTGTTCACCGGTGTACCTGTGCTCACCGGTGTACCTGTGCTCACCGGTGTACCTGTGCTCACCGGTGTACCTGTGTTCACCGGTGTACCTGTGTTCACCGGTGTACCTGTGTTCACCGGTGTACCTGTGTTCACCGGTGTACCTGTGTTCACCGGTGTACCTGTGCTCACCGGTGTACCTGTGCTCACCGGTGTACCTGTGTTCACCGGTGTACCTGTGTTCACCGGTGTACCTGTGTTCACCGGTGTACCTGTGTTCACCGGTGTACCTGTGCTCACCGGTGTACCTGTGCTCACCGGTGTACCTGTGCTCACCGGTGTACCTGTGTTCACCGGTGTACCTGTGTTCACCGGTGTACCTGTGCTCACCGGTGTACCTGTGCTCACCGGTGTACCTGTGCTCACCGGTGTAGAAGCTATGACCAACGGCGTCTTCATTCCCTCGGTATACAGGGTGTCTCACATGTCAGTATACCTCAATATACAGGGTGTCCCACAAGTGAGGAACCTACCTCATGTCGAGACGTAGTGTTGTTGTTAAAGATTCGCTACCTGGAACAAAAAATTCCAAGTAGCACGGGCTATGGTGAGCCCGTAGTAAAGACGTAGTGAACACCTCCACATCCCAGACCTTACCCAACCAGCACTCGACCACAGAGGCTTCAAGCCTCACCCCTAAGCTTCTATACCCCCCCTAAGCTTCCCATATACATAACTAGACTCACTCTTAAAGCTATACTAGAAAAAATCGTGATGTGTATGGTCGTACTCACAGTCTCTCCAGCTGCTGCAGGTCCTGGAAGGCGCCGCGCTCTATGGTGTGCAGCTTGTTGTCGTGCAGCTGCCTGCAACACCACAAACACCAGTGTTACTTTAATGACAAGAGTTATAAATATAAATTACATTACACACACACATACACACACACACACACACACACACACACACACACACACACACACACACAGCTCGCATACAGAACATCAGACAATGCAGACTAGGTACACAAACGGTCACCGTTTACTCGTATGGCAACCACGAGTTGCCTCTGGGGCCCTGGCAAGTGTTTGGTAGATGTAAAGTATACATATGGCAACCACAAGTTGCCTCTGGGGCCCCTGGCACCTGTTTGGTAGATGTAAAGTATACATATGGCAACCACAAGTTGCCTCTGGGGCCCCTGGCACCTGTTTGGTAGATCCAGAAGTATACATTAATAGTTAAGAAGACAAATTAGTGTGTCACACGAAGGCTTTAAGCCAGGGGGCGGGGGGGGGGTAATCGAAGTTTTAATTAAGTGAACTGGTTTGTGAGCTGCCCCCGGAGGCCAGGGTGTTGGTGTGGCCTGCGAGCCTCTCCTACCCACACTCTGGGGGACAACATAGTATGTGGCGTCTCCACAGACTCTGGGGGACAACATAGTATGTGGCGTCTCCACAGACTCTGGGGTACAACATAGTATGTGGCGTCTCCACAGACTCTGGGGGACAACATAGTATGTGGCGTCTCCACAGACGCTGGGGATAACATAGTATGTGGCGTCTCCCCCAGACTCTGGGGGACAACATAGTATGTGGCGTCTCCACAGACTCTGGGGACAACATAGTATGTGGCGTCTCCACAGACTCTGGGGACAACATAGTATGTGGCGTCTCCACAGACTCTGGGGGACAACATAGTATGTGGCGTCTCCACAGACTCTGGGGGACAACATAGTATGTGGCGTCTCCACAGACTCTGGGGACAACATAGTATGTGGCGTCTCCACAGACTCTGGGGGACAACATAGTATGTGGCGTCTCCACAGACGCTGGGGACAACATAGTATGTGGCGTCTCCCCCAGACTCTGGGGGACAACATAGTATGTGGCGTCTCCACAGACTCTGGGGGACAACATAGTATGTGGCATCTCCACAGACTCTGGGGACAACATAGTATGTGGCGTCTCCCCCAGACTCTGGGGACAACATAGTATGTGGCGTCTCCACAGACTCTGGGGACAACATAGTATGTGGCGTCTCCCCCAGACTCTGGGGGGACAACATAGTATGTGGCGTCTCCCCCAGACTCTGGGGACAACATGGTATGTGGCGTCTCCCCCAGACTCTGGGGACAACATAGTATGTGGCGTCTCCACAGACTCTGGGGACAACATAGTATGTGGCGTCTCCACAGACTCTGGGGACAACATAGTATGTGGCGTCTCCCACAGACTCTGGGGACAACATAGTATGTGGCATCTCCACAGACTCTGGGGACAACATTCAGCATGCAAGACTGGCCACGGGGGCCCGGGCCTCTGTCAGTCTTCAAGTCAGCATAAGGCTGATGCAGTCCGTGTGTGTGTATGGGGGGGGGGCCCTTGTGTGAATTGTGGACATTTCCTCATTTTCCAGTCAATTTTTTTAAGTACTTTGTATAACTATCTCATGTCTCTTCTTTCTTCTAAAATAGAGTCAAGTCAAGCTCCTTCAACCAATCTTCGTGCAGCATTTTGGTAAACCCCAGACGTAGCCCGCATACACCGGTCCTGAGAGGAGTGGACGCTGGCGAGGTCCTGTGGGCGTCCAACAGGAGTGGGTGCAGGCTAGGTCCTGTGGGCGTCCAACAGGAGTGGGTGCAGGCTAGGTCCTGTGGGCGTCCAACAGGAGAGGGCGCTGGATATGTCCTGTGAGCGTCCAACAGGAGTAGGTGCTGGCTAGGTCCTGTGGGCGTCCAACAGGAGAGGGCGCTGGCGAGGTCCTGTGGGCGTCCAACAGGAGTGGGTGCAGGCTAGGTCCTGTGGGCGTCCAACAGGAGTGGGTGCAGGCTAGGTCCTGTGGGCGTCCAACAGGAGAGGGCGCTGGATATGTCCTGTGGGCGTCCAACAGAAGTGGGTGCTGGCTAGGTCCTGTGGGCGTCCAACAGGAGTGGGCGCTGGCGAGGACCTGTGGGCGTCCAACAGGAGCGGGCGCTGGCGAGGTCCTGTGGGCGTCCAACAGGAGTGGGCGCTGGCGAGGACCTGTGGGCGTCCAACAGGAGCGGGCGCTGGCGAGGTCCTGTGGGCGTCCAACAGGAGTGGGCGCAGACGAGGTCCTGTGGGCGTCCAATAGGAGTGGGCGCAGACGAGGTCCTGTGGGCGTCCAACAGGAGTGGGCGCTGGCGAGGTCCTGTGGGCGTCCAACAGGAGTGGGCGCTGGCGACGTCCTGTGGGCGTCCAACAGGAGTGGGCGCTGGCGACGTCCTGTGGGCGTCCAACAGGAGTGGGCGCTGGCGAGGTCCCGTGGGCGTGCAGTGGGCGTGGTCCGTCTAGTCACCTGCGGCCTTGCCACGTGGGTGTGCGCACAAGGACTACGTTCTGAAGGGCAGGTCTCACGGTGAATGGTTTCCAGACTTCGAGTAAACAACTCATGATTTTGTGAATGAACGAGATCAGCATATTTATGAAGGCCACGTCTCTCGAGGCGTGTATACATCTTAGATGTGGCAACACTGGTCATCTGGCAGCTCATTCGCCTCGCTTGCATCCTAGACACCCATTCACCCGTCCCTAGTGTCCCTACCTCCGTCCCTAGCGCCCCTACCTCCGTCCCTAGCGCCCCTACCTCCGTCCCTAGCGCCCCTACCTCCGTCCCTAGCGCCCCTACCTTCGTCCCTAGCGCCCCTACCTCCGTCCCTAGCGCCCCTACCTCCGTCCCTAGCGCCCCTACCTCCGTCCCTAGCGCCCCTTCCTCCGTCCCTAGCGCCCCTACCTCCGTCCCTAGCGCCCCTTCCTCCGTCCCTAGCGCCCCTACCTCCGTCCCTAGCGCCCCTACCTCCGTCCCTAGCGCCCCTACCTCCGTCCCTAGCGCCCCTACCTCCGTCCCTAGCGCCCCTACTTCCGTCCCTAGCGCCCCTACCTCCGTCCCTAGCGCCCTTATCTCCGTCCCTAGCGCCCCTACCTCTGTCCCTAGCGCCCCTACCTCCGTCCCTAGCGCCCTCACCTCCGTCCCTAGCGCCTCTACCTCTGTCCCTAGCGCCCCTACCTCTGTCCCTAGCGCCCCTACCTCTGTCCCTAGCGCCGCCTACCTCCGTCCCTAGCGCCCCCTGCCTCCGTCCCTAGCGCCCTCACCTCCGTCCCTAGCGCCTCTACCTCTGTCCCTAGCGCCCCTACCTCCGTCCCTAGCGCCCTCACCTCCGTCCCTAGCGCCTCTACCTCTGTCCCTAGCGCCCTCACCTCCGTCCCTAGCGCCCCTACCTCTGTCCCTAGCGCCCCTACCTCTGTCCCTAGCGCCCCCTACCTCCGTCCCTAGCGCCCCCTACGTCCGTCCCTAGCGCCCCCTACCTCCGTCCCTAGCGCCCTCACCTCTGTTCCTAGCGCCTCTACCTCTGTCCCTAGCGCCCCTACCTCTGTCCCTAGCGCCCCTACCTCTCTCCCTAGCGCCCCCCACCTCCGTCCCTAGCGCCCCCTACCTCCGTCCCTAGCGCCCCCTACCTCCGTCCCTAGCGCCCCTATCCCTATCCTAAGCATTTTTACCCCAGACCCTAGTGCTCAATCCATTACCTCAATCCCCCTCCACCTCATCTCATCCCAAGCGCCTCTTTTCCCTCATCTCTAGACTCCCTTCCCCCATCACAAAAAGCGTCGCTTTCCCTATCCCTTAGACATCACTCTCTTCCCCATGCCCAGCGCCGTTCCTCCCACCAATATCGCCCCTACCCCATTTTTACAAACGCCCCCAATTTCCCCATATCCTGGGCCCCTCCCCACTTCCTTACAGCTACTCTTCCCCCATTTACCCCTCCCTTCTCCCTATCCCTAATGCCTTTCCCCCGATCCCAGTCCCGAATATATGTTGGTAGAGGTTGCTGCCAACAGGCTCGAACCCTGGGCGCCTGGGGAAAATGTCCGCTAAAGTTCCTGCAGGAGGTGGGTGAGGAACTCGTCAGGGAAAACACAAACCCAAGAACGACCAGTTCCCTGTTCCAGCGCCTCAGTGTCGCGATCCAGAGAGGTAATGCCTGCTCTACCTTGGGCACGCACCCAACCTCTGCAGAGCTGGGTGAGGTTTTCTGTTTATATATATATATATATATATATATATATATATATATATATATATATATATATATATATTATATATATATATATATATATATATATATATATATATATATATATAACACTGTTAGAAAACCTCATCCAGCTCTCATCCAAATATATTACTGCTGTATTTCTGTAAGCTGTGACGTAATTAATTCTATAATATTGAAGCCAAAAATATAAATTAGGGGTGGTAGGAGAAGAACTGATGATGGGTAATCTGCTGCAGGGTCTTTCTGAATTATTTTTATTGTCTTACCCAAGGATGTGGGTCCCCATAACTGCACCAGAGGTGGTACCCACACACACACACACACGTGTGACAAGGACCACTCATGATATTCTCACTTTCATCATATGCATTACCAAACCAAACAAACGTATCCTTCACAAGCTGAACATAAACCATATACTTTCAGACCAATCCTGGAAAATCAAAACCCCACAAACCAAAACCCCGACCTAAAGTCACACCATTTCAGACCAACTCCGCCAAAGGCTTCAGCCTCAAGTTGTTGCCATGTGTGTGCTGGTGGAGGCCCGAGCCAGGTGTGATTGACACGTGACTGGTGGACCCCCCAGACGCCCCAGCACCTCGGTACCTCCTCCCCAAGCCTCGCTGGCAGCCGCTCCAGCCATTAGCCTTTGTTCACAAGAGGACTCGGATTGGCTATTCTCTTTACAACCTCAATTAACCTAACAATACTCAAGCACTTAAATACTAATTCACACGCGCGAGCGCCCACACGCGCGAGCGCCCACACACCAACTACAGTAACTAC